CTGTTTCTTTTCCTTCTTGCCGGCATGCCTATCTGCCTTTCATTTTTTAAATCCTTAAGCTTTGGTAGTTTTCTGTGTTCAAGTGCATTCTCTGTTTGATAGTCATGATGACATTTCCCTTCAGATCTTTCTGTGTTTTAGCTTTTAGTCCCCAACTGAAGTTTTTCTCATTTCTGACAGAATGCCTCAAGAATGGTGGGTTGAACTTTATCATTAAAATCTGTAACTCTGGCATTTTTCTGTCTCTTCTGCTGGTTACTAGATTATGATTGTCAAACCATGGTTTCAGATACGGCATGGATTTATGCTTCAGGTTTTGCCATGTGACATATAACGAGATCACATGACCAAGTGAACAGTGGGCCCAAACTAGTTCTTGGAGACATACTTCCACCCATCTCTCTGAGAATAAAATGAACATGGCATTTACCTGGCCTCTGTGATAACTGGATGAGTTTGTGTTCTGAAGGGATGTAATCCTCAAATTACAGTTGTGAATTTAAAAACAATACATCTTCCCTCCCCAGATAAATACATAGATGTGCCTAATTTGGGGGACATATTTTCTCTAACTGGATCCTTTAAGTCTTTGTCCTTACCTTCTCAAATCAAAAGATTGCCTATTGGTGTGAAGTCAAGCTGCCATTCATCCTTCAGTTTGCAAGATCTGCCCGTGATGCCACTGCCCAGGATAAGAGTCCCCACAATGCACTAGGAGTTTTGTAGTAATTTTTCTATTTGTTTTCTGTGGATTTTATGGGTTTTTTTTGTTGTTGTTTGTTAATTTCTATATTTTCATACTAATAAGCGTTGGTTTATTGTTTTAGAAAATCTGAATTGATTTTAAGCTCACTTACCAACTTCATTAATTTGCTTCCAAAGTGGTAAAGAACATTAATTAATACATTGTTTGAGTAGTGAAATAATTTATAACCCAAACAATGTCGAACTAAGTGGAAGTAATATTTTTCTTCTATTTCTCCTGTATGTCAGTTAAAAATTTTAAGTACTTTTTAAAGTTTTATTTTCTCTATACATATCTTCTAATTTCACTTTTTAAGTTATAAAAGGCAATCATTTTCATGTTAAAAATGCCACCTGAAACAATTTATCATACAAATTCAGTTGAAAAGTCTAAGAGGTCTAATAGAGAAAATGGCAGCAGAAGCTGGCATGTGTGATAGTGATACCAGAAACAAGGGGTTTTAATCATGATATTTATTTTTAGTTAGTTTTTATGTGTATGAGTGTTAGACCTGCATGTATGTAAGGGCACCCATGTCATGCAGTGCCCCAGAGGACAAAGAGGGTTTCGGATCTCCTGGAACCAGAATTATAGATGGTTGTTAGCTGCCACGTGGGTGCTGGGCTTCAAACTCAGGTTTCTGCAAGAACAGTCAGTGTTCTTAACCAGTGAGCCATCTCTGCAGTCTGAGTTTTAATCTTTTATTTATTGGTGCTACTAAATATCACCTTTGGGTTCTTTTAAAATATTTTATTTATTTTGAGTTAGGCTCTTGTGGTGTAGCCTAGGCTAGCCTCAAACTGGTGATCTTCTTACCTCTGCCTCTTAAGTGCTAGGATTACAGTTGTGTACTGCCAGACACACTTTGAACCTTTGATTAGAAAACAAACGTATTTTACATTTGCCCAGAAAAATTTAGGATAGAAATTCTCTTTGTAGTCACAGGCTAATGGCAGGAAAAACTAAAATTGTGGTTTCTGCTGTGAGTGGAGTGGATCCTGTCTCTTTCTGCTCACAAAGCTGCTTTAAACTGAACCACAGATCCAGTGCACAGATAAGCATGTTTCATTCCTTTACGTCAGCCTGACATTTCTGTGGCTGTCTTATTCAAAGTGTATTTTCTTTTTTCTTTTTTTTTTTTTTTTTTGGTCTTTTTGAGACAGGGTCTCGCTGTAGCCCAATTGTCCTGGAACTCACTATGTAGACCAGGTTGGCCTTGAACTCACAGAGATCCACCTGCCTCTGATTAAAGGCATGCACCACCACACCTGGTTCAAAGTGTATTTTTTTAACGCAGGCCTGTAGCCTTTAAGTAATTGCCAAGAACTTGATGCCTAACATGCCAGTGTTAACTAGGGACAAAGAAAGTTTCTCTAATAAAAACCTTTGCAATTGGAGGAGAGCAATTCCAATAATGCCTGCCGATTTTTATGAAAGGGCATCAAACTAAAGGTGACAGCAACACATTTGTACTTAAGAAACCAAGAGCTAGTTAGGCAGGTGCTTAGCCCCCAACTCCTAATACTTTATAACTGTACATCTGCAAGTTCTGTTAAATTTTCTTGTCAATTTCTTTTCTGGAAGCTTTTTTCAAAATGTAATAAATACATTTTGTTGCCAGGCCATTAACTTAGGTTGTAATGTATTAGAACTAACATCAGTGTTAGGAATTATTTTGAGAATTAGAATTTTGTTTTCTAATGCAATTGTGATGTTACATCTTTAACTCTCCCCCTAAAAAATAGTAAATAAGATTCTCCTAATAAATAAAATACTTTTTAAAGCGTGGCAAGGGGGGAGTGGCTGGAGAGATGGCTCAATAGTTAAGAACACTTGTTGCTCTTGCAGAGAACCTGGGTTTGGTTCCCAATACCCACATGGTGGCTAACAACCCTCCATAGTTCCAGTGCCAGGGGATCTGACATCCTCTTCTGACTTCCTTGGTCATTACACAACATGGGTGCACTTAACATACACAGAGGCAATGACTAATACACATAAAATAAAAGTAATAAATAAAATATCTTTAAAAAGATTCTTTTTCTCTAGTATTGAATGTAGCACCTGTTGGGTAGCTGATATGAGGACATCAGTGTTCTAAACAGCATTTTTTCATGGTTGCTTCACAAAGGGAAGCTTGTTCACCTAAATGTATCTCTATTGAAATGTCTCTCTATTAGTGATGAGAAGCAAGGCTGGCTATCTTCTGGTCCCCTTCCAGCTACTGCAAGTTGTCAGTATAGAATTCCTTACCTAAGATCTCAAGACACTCCCTTCCCTTTCCAGACTATGTATAATATGTGCTATATTTCTGTGAAGTTCAAGAATGTGTATAACTTGTATCCAGGGTACTCCTTGACTGAGATCAGAGTGCCAGTAATGATAATTCATTAATGAGCATACCATCAGGTGAAAATGAAAGAGGTTTGAAACCTGGTCAGTTTCCTGATCACAAATTAACTGCACCAGTGCTGTTGTCTACATAGCTGTTTATCTGAGTGCCTGACTCCTGGATGGTGCTGAGGAGGTAGCATACCTGTACACATCGCCTTTATTCATATTGACCATCTTCATTCTCATAAAAAAAATCCAACGCAGTTAATTTTGTTACGTTTATAATCAGTCCTGCCTCTTGAGATTATACAAGATTGTATTGATTAGGTTTTTTTATTGTGAAATGGCTAATCAAACCATACTTTCTGATTACATCAATGTGGTTCTCGAGGGCCAGTTCCTCATCTACCAGTTTTTGAGGGGTATTTCACTGTTATCACTATGAGACAGCTCATAAAGATTCCCTGTGCTGGCTAATTTTAGGTAATGTGCATATGGTTGCATATAGTATTGGGTAATATATGAAATCATTCTAATTTATTATAAAAAGAAAACAATAGTTAAAAATAAAAGAACTGAAACTTGAGTATAATCAACATATGCCTATGAGTATTTTAATTGTAGTTCTTTCAAATTCCTGGTTCATTACTATTAAGTTTGCTGTTTCAGGTGTTGAATATATTTGTGTGTGTTGTATTTTCAGGAAGTTTCAGCTGATCCTACCGCCACACTCACAGCAGCAGAAGAAAGGAAGGAGAAGGTACCCAGTCCACACCTCAGTCACCTAGTGGTTTTGACATCTGGGGATACATTGTATGGGTTGGCAGAGAGAGTGGTAGCCACAGAATCCTTGTAAGTTGTTGAAAACAGTTGCTTTGCCATAGCTATTTAAGGAAAATTGTAAAAGTAAGCATTGTATAATTATACTTGTAGCTGTTACTAGAGCTTCTAAACATCACTTGGGCATTTTGAGAAATATATGCTAACATAGATTGCATTACCAATTGATTGTTTTAACTTCATGGTTTGTTTTATGTGTGTGTGCATGTGCATGTATATGAGGCTGCATATGCTTGTGCAGCTGTAGATGTACCTGTGCGCATATGTGTGTAGGCCAGAGGACAACCTTGAGTGTTGCTCCTTGGGTGCCGTCTACCTTGTTTTTTTGAAACAGGGTCTCTCATTGCCAAGTAGGCTAGGCTGACCGGCTGGGCTGGCCACTGAGCCCTAGGGATCTCCTTGTCTTTGCCTCTCCAGCACTGGGATTACAAGGGTATAGTACTGCTGACTTTTCATGGTCATTTTTTAGTTATATAGATAAAAGGAAGGAAATAGTTTAAGTTTTCCTACTTAACAACATGATTTTTTTTAAAGTAAAACTTGAAAAAACCTGTGTTCTACTTTACATTTTCCTACTGACTAAAGAACTAAAGTAACCATAGCTCCATTGTTACTGTTACAGAAACCTCACCCTTGGCATCAGCAAGAATGCTTCTTGACCTTTACAAGTCCCACGTTGGTTAATTCAATTAAATCATAAAATTATTATGTAAAATTTAGTCCAATATAATTTAAATATTCTTGCATACATAAGAAAAATGGAAGAAAAACAATTTTCCATGGCAGCGCATCTGTAGGCGGAGGTGGTTCAGGTGCATCACCAACTACCACCCCTGCCCCCACTACTTCCTGCCCCCCAGCCTCCTGCACCCCACTCTCCTGCTCCTGGAGAAGGATGCATGTGTCTAGTCTGCTGCGTGTTAAGGATGGTTGGTTACTTATGACAAGTATGACTTCCTGAATCTCTTCAGTTCAAGAGTCATTTGTATATATTAAGTGGAATCCTTAAATCCACTTTTAAAAAGCCTTACTTTTTCAGGTTTTTTTAATGTGTCATGTGTTCATATTTTACATGTAAAACAGCAGGATTCTATGCCTTGTAGTCTGATTATTTCCTGTGAAGTAGTTCTTCCTTTGTCTCAGCTTCCATTCAGTGATAACTCAGCATTTGTAATTGTGTAACTTATAAACTTGCCCAGTTCATAATAGAAGGTAGTTCACTAAAGTGAAAAATAATTTTGTTGTTAAAGTTTTATTTGTAGATTTTAACCTGTTCGTTACAGAGCAACAAGTCAGGCTCTAAACCATGCAATTTGTTTACACAGTGGTTATTTATTCCCTTTAGAGTGTTCTTGGCTGAACAGTTTGAGTTCCTTCAGCCACATTTGGATGCTGTGATGCCTGCAGTCAAAAAGCCCTTTCTGCAGCAATTTTATTCTCAGGTCAGCTGGTCTTGTACGTCATGTCAACTGTGAGCAGGATAGAACTGCCACTGATCCCTGAACTTACTTGTTTGTTATTGGAAATCAGTTTCCCAGTCCCAGGGGTGCTGGATAAAATGCTCTTCCATTTACTCATGGATTTGTATGCTAAATAAATAATTTTTAAGTATCTTGTACAACTTTTGGAGGGGGGAGGAGAGAGAGAGAGAGTCAGAAAGAGTCGAGCCAGCTAAAGCTGTATTCATAGTAAAGTGTGGTAAGTGCTGTGAAGAAGGGAATGAGCAGCGACAATAAATTTAACCCAGACCAGAGGCAGGGGAGTGGCGTAGGAAGGCTGTCTGGATAGTGAGTAGTACTTATGACTGGACTAGCCAGGTAGAGAGCAAGTTGGGGATGTAGTCCAAACTAAGGAATGTCAGTACTACTAGACATTGAGAAGGGAGCAGGCTTCAGGGGAGCTTCTGAGAAAAACTGAAGTTGGCAGAGCAGGGAAGAGGGCTGGTGAAAAGGAGGATGGCTGGAGCGACAGGCAGAAGCCTTTTATAGAAAGTATTCTCAGCCTAGAATGACCTTATTTCCCAGTACTAGGAAGTTCTTGGAATGTTTGAAACAGATGAGCAGCCTGACCAAGTATGTTTTAGAAGGAGTCTTTGGAAGTGAGTGAGGAACGTTAGGTGGCATGCCTACATATAAAGGTGGGGAGGGGTGCAGTTTGAAGACTGTTACGTATTGTAGGTGGAAGGGAGTGGAATCCTGAGCTGTTAAGGTACAAAGAAGGGAAGTGGAAGAGTTTGAGAATATGAAGAATATGTGCTAGTCTTAATTCTTTATAATAGTATGACCTCAAGTTATTGGGTGCCTCAGAGTTATATTTTATGTAAGGTCTTTGCCTCGTGTTAAGATATTTTAATTTAATAATTTAATTGAAATCCCAATACATAGTGTCTTATTTTTATATATGATACCTATCAGAAACAGGAAAAATATTCTTTAGAAGTGTGTGGTACTTTAGAAATAATTGTTTCTGTTTCTGTGACATGTTTCAGACAGTTTCAACTGCCAGTGAACTACGCAAACCCATTTACTGGATTGTAGCTGGTAAAGCTATTGATTATGAACAGATGCTCCTCCTAATGGCTAATGTGAAGTGGGATGTAAAAGAAATCATGTCACAGCACAACATATATGTAGATGCTCTGTTAAAGGCAAGTGCTCTGGGAAACATCTTTGCTAAAGATCATTTTGCTAAGAGAACTGTGCCTTGTGGCAGTGGCTCTAAAGTAGTGAGATTATAGTTAGTCATTACTGTGGTTCCAGTGTCCTGAACTGATACAGTCTTAGGTTCTGGAATTTGAGTTCTTATTTAGATCTATGACTACTTACTGGGGGTTTTGTTTGTTAGTTTGTTTTTTAATTTTACTCCCATGTTGAATTAGTTTGATAACTGCATGTCGTGACTGTCTTTCTGTTAGGTACCCTAAAGCCATGACTCTACAAGACACTATCTGCTTTATTAGAAGTTATTTCTGTAGTTCAGTATGTATTCATTTGCACAGTTACTCGATCATTCCAGACTGTTTTTCCTAGAACTCACATTACTTTCATAAGGTCTTGGGTAATCAACTATTTATGCATAGTTTCTACATTTAGAAGTTTCTTAAAAAGAAGTGTAATTCATCTTTTTTCATTTATGCATTAATTGATGGTTATATATCACCTGGCATGTGCCAGGTCTATAAAAGTGCTGCCACTGTAATTGTGGATTAAGAAACGTACATGCCCTCAGGGAATACCCGTGCCAGGGCAGATAGGAGCAAACAGATGAACTGATATGTAATATCCAGTGAAGAATAATGCTGTGAGGAAAATCAACCAGCTACAGAGAGAGGAAAGGAAATGACAGGATATGGGTGAATTAGGAGTACCACTTGTTTGCTCTGATCACAGGAGCTATCTAATGATAAGGAGAGGAACTGGGTGGAGAGCTGGTGAGAGAGTACCTGAGAAGAAGAAGACAACTTTCAGAAAGATTTTGTTTTCCATTTTTGTCCATGTAAAGAATTGACCCTTAAACTCCTGATTTTTTTATTGTCTTTTTGAGACAGGGTCTGTATGTGGTCTCAGCTGGCCTGAAACTCACTGTGTAGACCAGGCCGGCCTCAAACTCACAGAGGTCCACCTGCCTCTGCCTCCCAAGTGCTGGGACTCAAGGCATTGTACCACTATGTTTGGCTAAATCTCCTGAATTTTATCTCATTTGCACAATCATTTTTAATGGGCTAGAATAGTTGGAGCTGACAAAGCCGTACATTAGAACTTAGGTTACGTTAGGTGATATTGGTCTGCAGTGCCCAGCCACAGCAACTTATGATGCCCATCTGCATGGCTGGAAGCCTGTTCCCATACTCAGAGCTGTGCATTGTGGTGTCTAGGAGTTTCCTTGGAGAGCTAAGGAGTGAGTGACAAGTGAGGGTCCTATATGTTGCTGTCCTGGAATTGAGAGATCATTGCTCGGTATTTTAATTGTCAATTTCAATTTAGATTGTTAAAAAAAAAAAATCAGTGCAATTTGTAAATGATGATTCCTTGTTTTTAAATAGTTCTGCTTTTGAAAGTTGATTCTATTTTTTAATGCCTTAGTTTAGGCTGCTGTAACAAAATGCAGTATGTATTGGGTAGTTACTTTGTCATGGTTCATGTGCCCAGAATGCCCAAGATTAAGGCTCAGACAGATTTGATGTCTGGAATGGCTCAATTTCCAGTAGATTTCATCTTCCCATTGCATGTTTGTGTGATAGAAAGGGGCAGTGCAGCTCTCCTGGGCCTCTTATAAAAACACTAATCATGCATGTGGGCTCTGCCCTTACAACCTAATTGCCTTCCAGAGGTCCCACTCCCAATACCATCACCCTGAGGGTTAGGATTTCAGGATATGAATTTGGAGGAAACAAAACGTTCTGACTATAGCCCATGCCAACCATGGCATGCATAGGAATGGGGGAACAAAGGTTTCTACACTCAGCAAATAATGCTGCTAGAAAGCCTTACTGGCTTCCATATCTTAATTCCATGAAAAATGATTTTTATAAAGAAAAACTAATCTTATTCATATTATTAGCTTGAATCCAATTTTTTAACAGCTTCAGTAAGGCCTTCTTTAAGTGTAAATGTTAATTATCTGATACCTCTTGTTTTTTGTATTACTTCTCCAAGTTTAAATCAGGTGAAAATGGAATTCATTGTTATACCCGAATAATCCTAAGTAAAATGCAGTGACTTTATTTAACAAGGTGTATTTTTTGGACATTGAATTTAGCAATAAGTAGAAAATTTTATTGTAAGCCTATAGCTATCTTTAAAATAAAATATTAATGAAAATTACTGAACTATGACTCTGAAATCCAAAGTAGTTTACTGTAGCAAATGCATACATAAACACCATAGCCAGTCCTATTACTCTGCAAGATCCTTGAAATGAAACAACTGATGGAGAGCAATTACTTACTTAACTTTGAGTTTCAAAGGTAAGCTTAGTGAGTTGAAGATCCAGTTGTTAAAAAAAATAATAATTAAAAGCAACAGACTGTTAAAAATAAATCCTCAAGAAAAATTGTGATTCAGGAAGTAGCAAAAGAGCAAAGTGTAACACAGCTGTCATTGCGGCAGCTTAGCTGGGGGTGATCAGGTCAGGTCCCTCTCCTCCTGTATCTTGATCGAACATTTGAACAAGTGTCAGTCCCAACTTAAACATCGTGCCACTTCTCTATTTGGGAAACTATAGGAAAATGTCACTCTAAGCCTTCTTAAGTGTGTTTGAAATGTGTTGCTAAGCTGAGGTCAGTGACATTCCTTTTGTGCATGAACATTAGGTGACAGAATTCCAGAGAGACTGTCCATTGAAGGATATGCCATAAGCTGCTTTGATGTGGCATTGGGATTTCCTAAATTAGTTCTTTGTGTTTTTATTTTTAATACAAGCATGTCATGAAAGTTAAGGCAATAAAAATGCTTCGCTTTTCTGTAGATAATAGACAGGGTTATTTTTCTTTATACTAAAAATCTGCAGCTATGACATAACTTTCAAATCATTTGCTACATAATAATGTATTTAATCTTAAAGAGGATGATTAGGAAAGAAAATAATTTACCATATTTCTCTGAAGAGTATAGATATTGACAAATTAAGAATAGCTAGCTTTGAGTTGAAAGCTTATTAAACTATATTTTAAGAATGGTTTTCTTCAAGATATCTTTAAAGCCAAATTAAGCCATATTTTTAATTTATTTTTAAATTTTATTTATTATTTTTATTTTATGTGTATGCATGTATTGTCTTCATGTAGGTAAGTACACCTGTGTCATGCAGTGCCCGCGGAGGTCAGAAGAGGCTGTCGGATCCCCTGTGACTGGAGCTATGGACAGTTGTTAGCTGCCATGTGGGCGCTGGGATTTGAACCTGGGTCTTCTGAAAGAACAACCAGTGTTCTTAACTGCTGAGCCATCTCTCCAGCCCCAGAACCATATTTTTTAGTCTACAGTTGACAATCAGGAAATTTTGAGATGTAAAAATATTTGGACATTGTTAACATTGTTTAATCAATTAATGGTATTCATTTCTTTTCAGATAAAATGTGAATTATTTTTCTTTTTCTTTTAAAATTACTTATTATTGTATGTGTGTGTGATATTGTATTATATGTATGTGGGCATGTTTGCTATAGTGAACATATGGAGGTCAGAGGACTTGGAGTTGGTCTCTCCACCCTTATGTGCGTTCTGGGGATGGAACTCAGGTATCCTGGCTTGTGTAGGAAGCACCTTCCCTCAGTAATCTCACAGGCCCTCTTTATATTTTTTAAAACTGTTACATTAAGTCCAAATTGTCCATGGCATTAATTCCGTTTGGTTTGAATCTGAGTCTTTGGTTCATTTTCTTTATTTTCTGGGATTTTAGCCATTTCTTGCATATATGTGTGGCGGGGAAAGTACTATGACATTGGAATGATATTCATATGTAGCCATGACATTTTCCCCTCTTAGGAATTTGAGCAGTTTAATAAGAGGTTAAATGAAGTTTCTAAGAGAGTGCGGATTCCCTTGCCAGTGTCTAATATACTCTGGGAGCATTGTATACGACTGGCTAACAGAACCATTGTGGAAGGGTAAGTTTTCAAGAAAGCATTATTTGTTTCTTAAATTATACATTACATGAATGACATATGTGATCACTAATGGATGGAGAGAACAGAGATAATGATAATTGGAAACATACTTCTAATCTCATTTGAGGAGGAACTGTAAACCACACTGTGCTTGTCTCTGTTGGGTTATTTTCTTGCTGGTGACATTGTAACAAGATAGTAGATGAATGAGGAATATAGACTCATTATCTGAAAGTGAAACTAATAATTCATTATTACCCAATAATTTTTTTATGGTGAGTATTCCTAACATTTAATGAACGCTAAGAACATGCCATTTACTGAGCCAACTATTCACAGGATTGTATTGGCAAATCCTAATAATAGATAGGTAACTATTATTCTCTCTGTTTTGTCACTGAAAAGAAAAACCATTTGTTCAAAAGTCCAGGCTTAACAATGTTAAATAACTTGGCCAAGGTCACACAGTTTTCAAATGCAGAAAAGGCTTATGAATTCCCCAGTGCTTTGGTGGTTAAGTCAGTCCTCAGAACCCCTGCATCACTGTTCTTTGTCGTCTTCATCTTCTGTAGACTCAGTTTTTTACATGTTGAGTTTACAAGTTTGTCATGGGATCTTTCCCACTTGCTCAGAAACTATATACAGCATCTGATAAACAAAGAAGAAAATGGGTCTGGAAGACAGACAGCTGTTGCAAAGCCCATATGCACAATTCAGTTTTTGTACTGTCTTTCATCTGATTTCTTTTTACTTCTAGTTTGCTATGAAGAGAGTGCATTAGAAAGTAGAAAGGTGATAGGGTGACCTGTTAGTGTTGTGCCACTGTAGAAACTTGTGCTGAGTGGTTTCAGATAGCTGTCAATAGCCAGAGCTCAGGGATATTTTTAATAAATTCATTTAAAGTAAAAAGTGAGTAAATGTGTTAAGTTTCTGTATAGACCATTTTCTGAAGGAAAAAAGAAAAACAAAACAAAAAAACCTCTTGATTACTAGGTAATATACACTGTGATTTTTCTTGTAAAATTCCTTAGGGAAATATCTCATTTTTTAACATTGAATGGATCACTGACTTAAGAATAGTAAAATATTGTACTATTGGGGTTAATTTATCTATTTTATTAGTTGCCCACCTTAAAGCCATTGTTTCAGTAGTGAGGCTTTCACAGTAGGATGTGAATTGTTTGTTATGGAAATAGGTACAGTGTTTATGGAACAATTGTTTCATTTGTTCCTTTTGTGTTGAGTTGTTACAGTGTTGAATTTTTTTTCTGAAACTAGTGTTGCTTTGGAGTGTTAGAGCATAGTTTTCTAAATAGCTCTTGGCAGCCTGATTAGTTTATCTCTTATACAGCTATGTTAACTGAGTGCAGAAAACTATAGTTCACAGACCAAGGAAAGAACCTCTAAGTTACTCAGTTTCTTGTTCTGCAAGTGAGGAAATTAAAGGCTAGATAAGAATAATGAGGGCAAGTAGCAAGGCCTCAGTACAGCCGGCACTGTGTTGATGTAAGGCTCATGTATTGTTTTTCTCATCATCCCATCACTATGTTATTTTTTCATTGTGTCTCAGATATGCCAATGTCAAGAAGTGCAGTAATGAGGGTCGTGCCTTGATGCAATTGGATTTTCAGCAGTTTTTAATGAAACTTGAAAAACTAACCGATATTAGACCCATTCCTGATAAAGAATTTGTGGAAACATACATCAAAGCCTACTACCTAACTGAGAATGACATGGAGCGCTGGATCAAGGAGCACAGGGTGAGACTGGCTGGACAGCTAACTGTATGTTCTTTTCCTGTGTGCTGGTCTTGTCTGGTATATTACATAATTCAAAGTCATGAGAGTGAAATACAAAGAAAATCAAATTGCTTAGGTTAGTTTTTTTACCATATTCACAAAATCCATGCAATACCTTATTTTGCCCAATAATATCTTTTGAGCCCTTTCGAGCTGTCTTAGAATCAGAACATGAGCTATATTTTTCATGTGCTGTGTTATAGGAAAAGACCGAAGGTGGCTAACATCAAATTAAAAGCTATAGTCTATCAGAACACTTAAGTTTTGTACCTTTGGAATAGTGCCTTTCCTAACAACCTCAACACAGTGGGTGCATTAGAGTTGATTCAAAGACATTTAAACTTAAAATGGCTAAACTTGTGCCCCGCATTCAATTTTACCTTTAATAGAGATTTATTTATATTTCTTCATTTATTTAGGATGCTGAATTTTCAGCAGCTTAACTCAACATGTATCATTTAAGCAGTCTTAGTATAGAAATCTTTTCTGTGTGATATTTATATTATTTGTCTGGATAGAGAGTATATGAAGATAGACTAAATGAAAATATGGGAAAAATTAGAGTCACCACCAGCCAAGCAGGAACATTATAAGTTCAAGGCCAGCCTGGGTAATATTAAAAGATTCTGTCTCAAACAGAACAAAATAAAACAACCAAACTGAAAAAAAAATCAAATCTTAATATTTTATTTTAAATTTATTTTTATGTATATTTTGCCTGCATGTATATAAGTGCACTCATGTATGCAATGCTCCTGGAGGCCAGCAGGGGGTGTAGGGCCCCCTGGAACTGGAGTTACAGACTGTTGTTAGCTGCCATGTGGGTCCTGGAACTGAACCTGGGTCCTCTGCAAAAGCACCAGTGCTCTTTATCTCTGAGCCATCTCTCTAGCCCCAAATCTTAATACTTTTAATGAAGTTACTTAGGCTAAAAGCATGAGTAAAAGCTAAATAATGTTTTCTTTCTTTGGGTAAGGAAATAAGGCATTAATTTATTGAACTTATTAGGCTTAACTTTTTTAGTTTTAACATTATAAAAAGGTGAAGTAGGAGCTGGAGAGATGGCTCAGTGGTTAAGAGTACTGACTGCTCTTGCAGAGGACCCATGTTTGATTCCCAGCACCCACATGGCAACTACAAACTGTCCTTAACTCCAGTTCCAGGGGAATCTGAAGCCCTCTTCTGACCTCCATGGCATGGCATGACATGGATGCACTCACATACATGCAGGCAATACACAAAATAATAAAATATTTTTTTAAAAACAAAAGGTGAAATAAACCTTAATTTTTTTATGTGTTCATTCATCGTAAGTTGGAAGCAAATTGAAATGTACATGTTATTTTTAAGGATGTGTGCGTGTGTGTGTGTGTGTGTGCGTGTGCACGTGTGTGTATAAAGCCAGAATTGAGAAAAACTTCACCCCTCTTCTCCAATGATAGTTGAGAACCAAAATCCTAAGCTTGTGTGCAGATGGGCTGCCAAGTCCTCTAGTAAAGCGGACTGCTGATGCTTCCGTGTTGGTAAAGGAAGGGTTTGAGAGCAGGAATAGAGTAGTGGGGGAGAAAAGGCACATTCCTTAAGTATCTATTATTTGATGCTATAATGATGTCTATTTTAGGGTTTATTCTTTTCATATAGTGCACTGAAGGTTTTAGCTTGGTGTTTTGCAGTTTTAAGTGGATGATATTTGTACCTCAGTGACATTTTCCCAGAAACAATAAGGACATTTTCTGCATGTTCTTTCCTGCTGAAAAGCAGGGAATTTCGAGAACAACTTCTCATTAAGAATAATCCAGTGCTTGGTGACAATGGTAGAGTGCTCTCTGGTCAGTGAGGTGATTTTTCAGGGCTGGCAGGCGCTCCAGAGGTCAGGTGCACAGATAAAGCAAAATGAGAATTTAGAATGATCTCTTCCCATATTTTAAAATTTTAGTCTTTAGTGGTTGCCTTCAATAAAGGTAGGTTTTCTTTTCTCTTATAAGGTGAGAGTACACATTGTTCTTTCCTACCTGCTGTCCATCTTCCAGAATAAAACACTTTACTGACATTTCTGAGGGACCCCCATCTATTCCCATCCTACCAGCTCATGGTTTGAACTCCACAAACCAGATAGATAAGGATACTGAAAGATACTTAGTTTTATATACTGTCTAACAGTTATGACGATTTTTAAAGTCTGACTTGCTGATTCCTGTTACCTTGTTTTTTATGTCTTAGAGGAGTTGCTGTTGTGTTGGAAATTTTAACTAAAGTATATAATGTAGAGTACATTTTAATATTTGTAATGGCAATGTGCTTTGATAACCTAAAAACAAAGAATATCACAGAAACAAGTACAAAGTATGTGACCTTTAAAGTGATGAAAGCATAAGCATATTACATTACTTTGCCATATTAAAATAGATTCTTTTGCTTCCTGTCTCAAATGCACCCTAGCTCACTGACTTTATGGCACAGTAAACAACCTGCCTCCTCTGTCCCAGCATGACTTCTGCTATTCCTCACTGGCCTGTAGTGCTCAGGACCACATGCTAGTGTTCAATATATGCCTATTTTTCATTGTATTGATCTGAAGCATCACTTTTAATATTTGGGTATTAAATACAGATTTTCTTTCTTTGAGCAGGAATATTCAACGAAGCAGTTGACCAACCTGGTGAATGTTTGCCTGGGATCTCACATCAATAAGAAAGCAAGGCAAAAGCTCCTAGCAGCTATAGATGATATAGACAGACCTAAAAGATAATGAAGCACTGCTCTCTTTCCTCAGTGACATCAGTCTTCTCTCAACATATAAAATGTAAAAGGCGGATTGTTCTGCACTTCTGACATTTGGCTGAGAAGACTTTGTGCATGTTCTTTCAAACTGGAAAGTGGAAAACACTGAAGTGTGTGTGCTGTTCTCGGGTGATTTTCATATGTGCCCATCTCTTCAGATTTTGGTCTTGTAACCCTTTCCTGAAATGATTGTTGTCTTGTCATAACGTTATTATGTGACTACAGTTACACACTTTACAGAAGAATGCATCATAAACACATAGTTGGAAGGCACAGTGGCTAATGTTTGTATGAATAGTTTTTGGAGAGTGAATTCATGTTGGCATTTTTCTGTCCTCTGAGCTTGGTTCTTAGTGAACATGAAAGGGTGAATGTACAGTTATTTCCTAATTACGAGCACTGCATGAGAATTTTAAAAGTACATGTAAGTAAGATAGTAGAAAAATCACTATGTTTTCTGTTTTTAAATGTCAGAGCTTATGTCAGGGTTAATTTGGTTATAACAATGATCATAAATGATGAAATTTAATAAACATTGTACTCTAAAATGTTTGGTGTGTGTAAGACTACATTTTAATATTTGTATCTGACAGGCACAGATGGAACTATAGTGAAATTTTTTTAGCATGCTCTAGTTTTAATTATTTTATATTGTGAAACTCCTGGTGGGAATTAATTTCATTCCATGTACTTATCTGAGTATCATAATACAATGATTATTGTGGATTTCACCTTTTCATAAAAATATGAAATATTTATTTTATGTGTTACTGTCTTTGAATTCAGCTTTTAGCTTAGGGCAGAAGACCAAGGTTGACTGGCTGAGGATAAAACTGTGTCACTCAACATAAATATAGGTCAGACATTTGTTTTTCTTAAATACTTGTAACACAGGTGTAAAATACTATAGGTGTAACAGTGAGGAACTTCAGAACCCAATTAATTACTATGTATCGTTCATCTAAACTTTTGCCTTGGAGTCAGGCATCTCCTCCTAATACATATAACATGAAAATAAATTTCCAATGTGTGTGTTCTTTCTGACTTCTGAGTGGAAGATGTCTAAGCTCAGGTCCAGGGATCACTGTGTGGGATCTGTAACATCAGTAGTCCACAAGATCCTGAGGAACCTCCTCAGACACTGGCCTTGCCTCCAGTGAGTCTGGGGTGTGGAAGTGAAGAGCAGTGGGTGGCATGATAAGGGTGGTTGCCACTTACTGTTCTCAGTGAAGAGAGCACTTTCAGCCTTTGCCTGTGTGGGGTGCTCCTGTGTCTCTTCGTCGGTTTTATTTTGTTCTCCGCCTTTCACGCCATAGTTCATTTACGGTCAATGTAGAACTTCTTTGTAAACAGCCTGAGTTTGGTGCCATTATGATCTGGTTGTGATGGTGGGTTGTGTACTTATAAAGTGGATTCTGCCTGTAACTTTTATTTATTTGGAATCACTTGAAAACAAACGTGAGATAACCTTGGTCCTTCTGTTTAAATGGCACATTCAGTTAGGTACATAAAGAACTAATCAGTCTTATTTCTCAATTGACTAGAAGCTGATTATTTCTTCTTTTTAAAATTTCTTTTTACAGGGACTTTATGGTTATTTTCCATTCATTTCTACTTTAGTTGGCTCTAGATGAAGTGAACAGCAATTACCTGACTGGTAGAGCCTGGTTCTTTCCACAATAATAGGACTAGATACAAAAGAAATACTTACCTGTGAGATAAGTGACTCAACCTCGCAATCTTCCAGACCTTTTAGTCCACCTTTACTTTGGTTTTTCCATCTTCAAAATAAAAATGGAAGATCTCAGTGCTTTTTGAAAAAGGTTTTGTTTTGTTTTTACATTGAAAGGTAGCATAATAAGCGCCAACATCAAAACAGTAACAGGAGGCTTGAATCACAAAATTACCCGATAAGAGGAGAGCTACCAGACATTTCTGAAATATATTATGCTTTGACATTGACTTACAACAGTGAAACATTTTGTGAAGCTAACTTTAAGGTAAATAGAACTGAAAAGCTGAGAAAGTAATGGAATTAATGTTCTGAAAACTACTGGTTATCCCCCTCCCACACACACACACACACCTTTTTGAGTCTGTAATTTTTTTCTCATTTTAAACATTTTATATGAAAGTATCCTGTAGAAACCAGAATTATAGGTTCATATGGGAGCCTAGTAAATTAGTGTCTTCTGAGAAAGCTGAATTATTTAGACAAATATATTGTTTTACATTTAGAAAATACTAGGAAGATGCATAGCAACTCAAATGAACTAATTTGCTTCACTTTAGAAAACTATAGAGAGCTCAAGTTCACTTTAATCTCATTTAATCAGTTTAGAAGTCAAATTTCTGTTCAAGATAAGCCCGTATGTTATTTTATCAAATCCTTAGGAAGACCCTCCTTTTAAATTTCTCCTTAGCTGAGTACTGAAGTGGCACTTTAGTCTCTTTTTCACTTGCCCACTGAAAAGTAGTCCTAACAGGCATGTAATCCAATTCATTTTTAAAACATGGTTTTATCTTCTGTAATGAAAAAAATTGAACCTGAAGATGAAGATGAATACCGTTTGTACCCAAAGCAAAACAAAGTGGTATAAGGGGGAGGGAGAAAGACACAAACATTTATCCTATTAGTTTGAAAAATTAATTTTGATATAGACTTTTTAGTTAATAAAATGGCATTTAGCTCCTGACAATGATTAATGATAAGCAGATTATTAATACTCTAGTGTAATCTTTGTAAATGTTAAGGCTCATTCAGCTTTTTTTTTTTTTACAGATTTTTTTTTCTTACTATGGAAAATATTTGTTCAGTTCCAGTGTTCCACAAATGTTTAAGGCCATCATAAGGTCTTAAGCTGTTAAGTTCATGAGGAAAAAACTCAGATTTGTACATGGGAATTCTTAAAATAAATGAACAATGCCAATTCCTTAATTGTGATTACTTGTCTTGATGGGCACATTCTTTTGTCACTATTTCTAAGTATACCTGGATATTTTTTTTTTCTTTCAAAATCACAGCTAAATATTCTTCACTTTGAGCAATCCTTGTAAGATTGTGTAACTTATTTTTGTTTTTTGTTGGTGTTTTTTTAATGTAGAGAATAATTTAGTAGTTTCTGTAATCCCATGTAGATAAACCCTTATGTTTTTAATATAGTGCTTTACCCCTAGATAAATTTTTTAAAAAGTTTAATGTTTCTAGACCAATATGGCTATCATTTCTGTATGGTTTGTTTTTGATGGAGAATCGGGCATTTATTTATTTGAGTGTTTTGCCTGAATGAATGTAAGTGTACCACATGCATGTAGTGCCTGTGGAGGCAAGAAGAGGGCCTCTGATCCCTGGTGCTGGAGTTAACAGATGCTTGTTAACTGCAGTGTGGGTGCTGGGAACTGAACCCAGGTCCCAGTAGTTGTCACTGCTGAGCCATCTCTCCAGGCCCTGAAGAATTGCTTTGTAAATTACTTTAGAGATCATTTTTTTCATCTAAGACTGAAGAGACCCAGCCTATGGAGGATCTCCAAATTTGCCTTTTAAGTAATTTTTCATGGTGAACTGAACTTCCATATCTGGAAAGAGAAATTTGAATACCTTGGGTTTTGGGGGGTTTTGTTGGTTTTTTTTTTTTTTTTTTAGCTCAGGACTCCTGATCTGCCTTTGCTTTTGCAGTGCTGTGATTAAAGGCATGCCTGGCAGAAGAGCTAATTTCCGGATAGTTTAGTGTTTCTTCCCAGTATGTGGTCTCCTTTTTCTCTTTGTCAGTAACCGAAAGGATTTTTGTTTTAAAAAGTCAAATTCCCGTACCACAGGCATTTTTATTCAACTTGCAATAAATAGAGTAATCTTCGTCTTAAAGGTCATGGCCTTTGTAAGGTCCACTATTTAGCCTCTGCATTCCAGCCTCTTGTGTGTGACCCTCCGGCCTCTCTTCCCCAGTGCTGGGATTACAGATGTTTGCATTTTGACAAAAGCCCAATTCTAGAGCCTTCACCATGTGTCATTGCCCATTGAGTGACCATCAAAAGATAGTGCTTTCTGACTCCCTGCTGCCTACCTCACCTCACTTCTGTTCTCTCTGCTTTCTGAATCCTAGTGTTATCATCAAGCTCCTGACCAAAATGTGCCACTTCTTTATAATTTACCTTCTCAAGGACAGGTGTCATGGGAAAAAAAAAAAAAAAAAGATGGTCGGGAACAGCGGCGGCTGCCATGGCAATCCAGCTTTAATGAATGAGTGCAGAAAACCCTGTGGAAGGAGCTGACCATGTGAAACTGGGTGGATGGTGCAGGCTGAGAGAACAGTAAGGCCAGGGTGCCCTGTGGCACAGCAACAGAGAGCAGAAAGGATGTAACAGGAGGGGTCTCACGATGAAAGCTTGTGGACAGCAGGGAGAGAGGGTTTGGGATTTAACTGTGAAATGGGAGCTATGTGACCAAAGTGGTGAACCATGAAAGAGGCCGAAGAGGAGCTGTACTGATGTGTCTTGTGCCAGCAAGTAGGGAATCCATAGGCAGCAGATGTGGTCCAGTAGTGAGTGATAGGCAAGCATTTAGAGGAGTGTACAAAGGGCCAACTCATATCTATAAGCCCTGGGATTTCCAATCAAAATGAAATAACTACTTCTGCAAGCTCATTAGTTGGTATATGTGGTATGTGGGGCAGGGTGGGGGTCGGGGGGTGGTCCTGGTTAGTGTTTAGAAGAGAGAATGGCCCAGAACTGCATGTGTGTATTCCAGAATGCATCCTAGACAGCACTTAGCACAGAATCTTATTTAGTTCAAAACTAGGATGGATGAAATGCAAGCGCTCAGGTCCCTGGACAGGGCTTTAACTGACCTGAGCAGCTTGCTATTTTCTTTGGGGTAGGATGGTCAAGCACATAATTATTTTCTAGAGCACCCCATTCTGAATTGGATGCAATGATTGGCCTTTGTTTGTTACTTCTTAATATTATGGAAAAAGGATTAATTTTTTTCATGGTTATTGAAGAGATGCATACTAACATTGGAGCCAAAATATTGGCAATTTTAAAAGAAGGAATAATTCCTTAATTTTTTAATCACTCACAGGCTGTGTAAGATGAAGCTTGATTTATTTTAATATACTGTCCTAGACTAGTGGTTCTTAAAGAGCAATTTCCAGCAGCCTCAGATCATCTGAGAACTTGTTAGATGTGAAAACCTGTAGATTCTGCCCTAGATCTGTAGTCAGAAACTTGGAAGGAGCTCAGCAATCAGAGTTTTAACAATCCTAAGGCACACTAACGTTTGATAACTATTGACTTGAGCTTCCCTGTTGTGCTAATCAATCAGCTTTCTGCCACTGTGACAAAAAAAGAAAAGAAAGAAAGAAAAAACCTGGGATAAATAAATAAACTTAAATGATGAAAGGTTTGTTTGGGCTGATAGTTTCAGAGGTTTCTGGCCAGCGGGGTTGGTGTGGTTGCTTATGGGGCCTGTGGTGAGGCAGAACATTGTGGTGGTCAGAGCATATGGAGGAAACTGTTCATGATGACCAAGGAGGAGGGTGGGTGGGGGTGGGGGAATGGAGACGAAGACAGACAGACAGACAGAGACGAACAGAGACTGACAAAAAGAGAGTTCACTTTTTAGTGAAACCTTAAACCCCCAAACCATTAAGCTATGAATCTGTAAGTGGGTTAATCGATTGATGAGGTAGAGCCCTTGAGTTCCAGGCATTTTCCCAAAGCATGAGCTCTGAACACTATTTCACTGAGGATTGGGCCTTTAACAAATGAAATTTTGAGGGAAATTTAAGACCCAATCATAAGATCAACCCAGAATAACATAAGCTCTCTCTTTTCCTCTCTTTGTCTTTGACATCAGTACAGTATAGCTCTCTCCTAGGCAGATTGCTGAGAAGTCTTTTCTTTCCATTTTTAGACAATATTTTCTCTTTTACCCACTTTAGTATAAGAAGGATAAGTTTCCCACAAGATGAATCTTGGAGCATTCTCTATCCCTCCTGAGCCTCAGAGTGACTGGCATTGGACAGGCCATCACAT